CCCGCCCTGCCCTGGTGAGTGCCACGACCCCTGACCACCATTGCCCTGCACCCTGCTGCCGACCTTTGACCCCCATTCCACCCCACCTTTCCGTGACTTGTATTCCCCACTTGCCCCGGTGACCTCTGACCCTTGCAACCCCGATCCGTCACAGGTACCCCAATGCCTTCATTTTCCACCTGCTGTACAAGGGGGGGGCAGGTGGAGGGCGTAGGAGGAGGCGTTCGGGTTGCCCCCCCCGCCCCCAGCCCCTCCCCTGCAGCCTCCTGTGGCTCTGAACCCACTGCAGGCCGGAGCTGGCGCAAGGACAAGAGGCAGCCGCGGGGGGACAAGCGCCGGAGATAACCACGGGGTGGGGGAGGGTGTCAGGGTATTGCGGGGGGCATGGATGGGTCAGGGGCAATAAAGACACCGTGGAGCAGAGACCAACTGTAGTCGGAGCCTGGCCCCGGGGGGCTGCGGGTCAGGAGTGAGGGGCATCGGCAGGGCTGGGGGTGGGGCTGCGGGTCCGGAGTGAGAGGTCTTCCCTGGCCGGAGCAGTGGGGTCCTTAACCAGCTGCCCCCCCGCAAAGGCTCATGGGAGAATGCCCCCCCCCCAGTCCCGCCTCTCCTGGATGGTGCCAGGATTGAGGCCCCTTTATCCCTTGAGGTCAGAGACCGCAGAGGTGCAGGGGGGCAGGACCGGGGAGCCCCCACCGTGTTCGGGCCGCTGCCACGTTGTGGGTTGAGGTCGGGGGTGGGGGTAGAAATTAACCCCTTGCCTCCTGCAGTGTCCTGGCTCAGCTTCCCCTCCAACCCGGATCAGGGCCCCCAGCAGCTCCGCTACCCCCACTCCCAAATAACTCTCAGGGGCTCAGACATGTGAAACTTTGCATGCATTTGGGGGCATTGGGCTGCGGGTCGGGAGTGAGGGGCACCGGTGGGGATGTGGGGCAGATTTCTCATGGGTGACAATATCGCGTGGGGCTGGTGCAGGTGCGCCATATGGCAGGCGGTCTCACATGGGTCAGTTGCAGCAGAAGAGGCGCAGGTCGTTGAGGCCGGTGTCATCCTGGCCAGGCCCCCCCGGCAGCTCTACTCGTGTCTGCAGCCCACACACGGCCCCAAAGGCACAGGGCCGGCTCCAGTTGCCCCAGTCCCCGCTTGTGCTGCCCTCGCCCGCGACCTCCCGCCCGTTGGAGCAGAGCATGGACACGTCTGTGGCCGCCTCGTCGTCACGGAAGGGGCCGCGGGGGGGCTCAGCCCGGAGCCGAAACTGCACCAAAGTCCCCCCGCCGCAGCCGCGGGGCGACTGCCACAAGCCCCACCTGCGGGGATGGGGGGAGACACGCATGGGCTCAGGGCTCGGTGCCCCGGAATCCCGACCCGCAGCCCCTACCTCTCCTGGTGCCCCTCACTCCTGATTCCCTGCCCCCCAGCCCTGCCGGTGCCCCTCAATCCCGAACCGGAGCCCTGTGCGGGGCTGGGGAGTACTCACTTGCCCTCGCTGGACAGGACGCTGCTGCCGTCGGTGCAGATCAACCGGACGCCGTTGAGCCCTGTGTCGTCGCCGAAGTGACTCCAGCCCTGGTGGGGCTGCACCTGCCGGGACCCCCCCGTGGCGTGAGATCCCCCGGGCTCGCTGGTGCCCCTTACTCCCGACCTGCAGCCCCTGCTCCCCACAACTCCCTGGTGGCCCTCACTCCCAACCCATAGCACCCCCCTACCTTGAGGGTGAAGGCGCTGGCGTAGGTGCCCCGGGGGCAGAACTCCTTGTGCCCCCAGTCCCCCCAGGGTCCCCCGTTCTCCACCTCCAGGACGCTGTTGGGGTCCCGGCCCCCCCAGGCTCCCCCGGGGCCGGCGAGCAGGAGCAGCAGCAGAGGCAGCATGGCTGGGAGATGCCCCCCTGTGCTGGGAGGGGGCAGTTATAGCCGAGAGGCGGGACAGGGCGGGCCCGGGGGGCCTGTGGCAGGTTCATGCCCCTTGGCCCACTCACCCCTGGGGCCAGTGACCCCCATCCCTATGGCAACCGGGGGTACTGACCTCCCCGACCATGGGCACTGTAATCCTCTCCTGGTTACTATGGGAAGGAGAGCTGGTTGCTAGGGGAGGTTGCCATGGGGACTTAGAGCTGGGCAATGGAGGGGTCTGGTTGCTATGGTCCCTCCCCGCGGGTTGGTTGCGAGGGAGTTGGTTGCTGGGAAGACTGAGAGGTGGTTGTTGTGGGGGGGGTCAGGTTGCCATGGAGATTTGGGGGGTGGTTACCA